TTGTAGTGTGTGTATGAAATAAAAAGGGATGAGCTGTTGTAGTTCTAGCACTATATTTCAAGCTTCATGATGTTCCAAATAGCTTCTGAAGCCAAAGAAATACTCGCTCTCCTTTGGAAAGAAAGTCTGCACATGAGAAATTCCAACGAGATTGCAGCCTATACTCTGGGTGGGAATATACTTCCCAACAAGACAGATTAACTCTCTCCAATCTATAAGGTTACCCAAAGTTGCATTTTTTCCCAAGAATCATAGAAAATGAGGGTTGGAAGGGACCTCAGGTGGTTATCTAGCCCAACCCCCTGCTCCAAGCAGGACCATCCCCAACTACATAGTCCCAGCCAAACCTTTGTCTAGCTGGGTCTTAAAAACGTCCAAGGATGGAGATCGCACCACCTCTCTAGGGAACCTGTTTTACTACCCTCCTTGTGAGAAAGTTTTTCCTAATATCCAACCTAAACTTCCCTTGCTGCAATTTGAGCCCATTGCTCCTTGTTCTGTCATCTGCCCCCACTGAGAACAGTCCAGCTCCATCCTCTTTTGAACCCTCCTGCAGGTAGCTGAAGGCTGCTATTAAATCCCCCCTCGGTCTTCTCTTCTCTACATTAAATAAGCCCAGATCCCTCAGCCTCTCCTCAGAAGTCATGTCCCCTAGCCCCTGAACCATTTTTGTTGCCCTCCGCTGGACTCTCTTCAATCTGTGCACATCCTTCCTATAGTGGGGGGCCACAACTGGACACAGGACTCCAGATGTGGCCTCACCAGTGCTGAATAGAGAGGAAGAATCACTGCCCTTCATCCATTGGCAATGCTCCTACTGATGCAGCCCATATGCCTTTAGCTTTCTTGGCCACAAGGGCACACTGTTGTGCTATGTGGCATTTTCCTGAAAGCCCCAGCTTGTCAAATTGTGATTAGGTGAGAATCTCCGCTCTTTTTTAAAAAGATTAGTTTTCCGGCCAACAGAGTTGCAATGGAGAGGCCCAGAAATGTGGCCCATCTGTATGCTGATGGCTTAAAACCAACAGGCAGAGAGTACAAAAATTGTCTTGAGGGAAAAAAACATTAAGCCAATCTTATGAATTTGTGGTATTTGGAGTTAGCAATTCTGAAACTGTACCCCTGCTGTGAAATCTGTCCTCAGGGTTCAGAGCAAATGCTGCTTTTACATATAGAGGTGGCTGCAGAAGCTGGAAGCAGGGTCCTGGGCTTGCATAGTGCAAACTAGATGGTGCAGAAACCAGATGCTAAGAAACACTTTTTTGTTTTTTGCGGATGGCCCCTAAAACATAGCGGCCATATGTCAAGGACTCACCTTCAGCTGAAGATGATATATGAGAAGGAATCTGAATATGAGTGTTTGGCCCTTGTTCACAGATTCATAGATTTTAGGGTCGGAGGGGATCTATTAGATCACTGAGTCTGATCCCCTGCCCTGAGCAGGAAAGAGTGCTGGGGTCAGATGACCCCAGCCAGGTGTCTGTCCAGTCGCCAGCCGGGTGTTTGTTCAGCATTTACATCTCTGAACATCACTTTTGCAGCAGTTTGTCAAAGGGAAATCTTTGCGCAATGGCCTGCAAAAATCCGACTGGGGTCTGCATTTTTAACATTAGGTGTGCAGTGACTGCAAAATTGATGCCAGTTAGTTAGCATGCCTGTGCACAGCACTGGGCATGCAAGTATCTCAAATAAATGGAGAGAGATTCATACAGAATAGCCAGGCACGCTGCATCCCTAAACACTTTGACTTTCTTGCCTTTAGTTTTAAAAATATTCTCAGTCTTAATATGTGTGGCTGGGAAAGGTTGATTACATAGTACCTCACCGGAGGGCTGCAGTGCTATTTGAGTTCCCTATGCCGTTCTGCCTTTAGGCAGCTTTCTTCTGTGCGGTCCATCCATTTTTGATGGAAGATACTTACTTGTTGCAAAGTTCCATCTCTGTTACGATTATCTCTTCGACATGCCAGTACACATCAGCTTTTGCACTAGACTTTTTTCCATCTTTTGGACAGTGACCAACGCAGATGGCGGCGATGCTACCAACATTCTTTGAAGAAAACTGAAAAATGTCTGTTGCTCCTCTGCAGGAAACACAGAACAGCTTCAATTACTCTCTCGGAGACAGGCAATAACTTGCCTCATATGGACATTAAGTAATTTGCACATGGCTAGAGAAGATAGAAGATAAGCTTTCATTTAAAGTCATTTGATTTAACCTGCAATTATTTAGCGCAAAGTATAATTTCTGTATTTAAATTCAGTATTTTTCCTGATTAGGGCGATGCTTTAAATTACTGCCACTAGGACTTTCCAGGATAAACTTGAGCTGCTTCACATAAGAAATCAATTTGCCTTGTTATAGATAAAGCTAAAGAATGACTAATTTCCCCTATAGTGTTCATTTTTCTTGACAGACTCTTTATCTGTTATACATCTAGCAATCATAGTGACTTTAAATTTGCTAACTCAGCCCAATTTTAGAAGGCCGTCTTGAAAACAGCTTAGACAAACAACCAGTCTCTGGCAAACATTGCTGTTTCCTCTCTAGGGTATCCTACGTAGTTTTTATAGTTGCCTTTTTAAACCATAAGTCTGTTCACTATCCAGTCCTCAAGGGTTGGCCAATGATTTATTCTTCAGAGGAAGTTGTTTCCTCTGAACTCCACTGTACCCAACTGTTGCAAAAGCAAGAGCTTCCATAAAAGCATAGAAAACGAGGGCTGGAAGGGACCTCAGAAGGTCACATGTAGTCCAACCCCTGCTCAGAGCAGGACCAACTGACCTGTTCTTTTTGACCTTTGATATTTCAAATAGGCATTTATGTACTGTAGCCCCTGACCTTCGAATCAAGGTAACTTAGAAGAGTGCCCGTCTTGCAAGGGACTCATGAGATCCTGGAAGAAAGACATGTCCTCCCTACACAACAGACAGACATAGGGTCATATATCCTGATGGTCTTAGTATAGATCTTCTTTGCCTTATGGTCTATAGGCAGGTATGCTCTGTATATAGCATCCACAAACAAAACTCAACCAAAATCTCATTTCATGTCTAGTTACAACTGGCATGGTTTGGCCCGCTGGTGTGCTCAGGTGCAAATAGGGAAAGAAGGAATCTTATTCACTACACATACCAGCTCCCATTCCCATGTTCAGTATACAGCTTTCTCTCTCTCTCTCTTTTAGGAGATACTCAAAAAAGAGTCATATGTTGGAAGGCACCTTAAGGGTTACCCAGTCCATAGGTGCACGATTCACTGTTTGTAATGAGAGCTCTCTTAATCTAAACCAAAGACTGGACTTGTTAGGTCAGACTGAACACGTAGGCTGGAATTACACTTATTCTTTCTCTGCTTCCCCACCCCCCCAACCTTTTTGGAGGCTAAGCTAAAAACACCTCTTGCTAAGATAAGCTTCCTGCCACTCCTCCCAACTTAGCTACCTGGGGGTCCCTTTTGCTTCATCAGGCAAGCCCTAGAAGTATTACAGTTTTGGTAAATCTCAGATGTAATTATGGGAAGGACTCGCTCCCTCGCACCAGATGGCTTTTCTGTTAATTCTGAAAGCTGCTTTAGCATCTGGTCACCATGGACAAACCAAACATTAACCCCCACCCCTCCTTCTCCTTCAGCACCAGTGGTATCTTCTGGGAGAAGAGAGGAACTGCTTGAACAAAGCTGATCTGGATCCCCTGGAGGGGAGAGGGCTTTGTTTGCTTGGCCATTGAGATCTCCCTTTCATACCTTCCAAATCTCTTTCTCTTCGGAGAATTTTCCAAGACAAATTCTTTTGAGCGGCACTTCCTTCCTTCTAAGATGATCCAGACATCGTCTTTGGTTTCTGAATTCTCTTTGTTGCTTGTTATGGTGACGATCTCGTACGCTTTAAATGCAGAAAAAGCACACAGTTCCCATAGCTGTCAGAGCAGGTGCACCTAGGACTATGGCCAGAGTCTTATCTAAGTGACTGTCTCTCTGGTGTGTAGATAACTTCTCTTAATATTGGTCACTCTAGACTACAAGGCACCTGCAAGCTAAACCAAGGATGGAGTCTGGGATCTGCTGAAAGTGATGTGACTTCTACCCTTGGCTTCTGAGTCAGGATTTCACCCCAGGCATGGCACAAACAGAAAACATAACAGTAGGCTTATGGTGTTTAACTACCAGGGCTGGATGTTGCTTTCTGGAATTAAAGTTTTCTTATCTTTCAAAGAATTCAAAGGGCAGTGGTTTGGGGCATTCCTGTTTCTCAGCGGCTCTCTAGAGATGGGGTGCAGAGGATAATCTTGTCCCCTTTTGTTCAGGAGGGGGTATGAGGAGACAGAAGGCCACAATGTTGTCAGTAGGCAAAAGACAGATATTTATGTTTCCATGCTGGTGCAGTGGATCTAATTATATCACGCCTAGATAAATACGGGGCTTGTGTGACAGCCAGTTGGATATGCCTCAGTCAAGACTGAAATAACACTGTTGGGTGGAGAAAGCACCTGGGAGAGCTGGTGGGACTTGTTGGTGCTCCTCACAGAGGGACAGCAAGCACTATTTGCAGAACAGATGTGCACAGATGTGCGGCGGAGTTAGGCCCCACACAGCTCTGGTTCGTGGCTATAGCCAAGAATGGCTACCCCCCCCACCTGCACCTAGCAGGATTCAGTGTGCTCTTTCCATTAAATGTGAACCCCAACTACCATTACCCATGGTCACTTCTTAACTGCTGGAGTGTGCTCCACAAGAGGCAGCACCTTGGGAGCACTGGGAAACATGAGTACATGCACTAAGCTGTAGCCCGCTTACTAAATTGAGTTTCTGCCAGGGTTACATTGGACCAGAGGTCTGGGGTCTACACGGGCTCCCAACCTTGCTCGAGGTGTCCGTTTTAACCGATGAAGCCCTAAACTGTTTGCAGCCAGGTTTACTTCTCTCCCCATGAAAATGACCCCAGGTGAAATCATCAGCTGAAACTCCCC